TATAGCATTAAAACAAAGGAGAGGAGGGGGTTAGAAACTAAGCTTCAGGGAAAGTCCAGGGATGTAGAGACAGCTCAGCATTAAAAGTACTTACTGTTCCCTCGGGGGGGGGGGGCCAGATTCAGTTCCCAGCATGCACTTCATGACTCACAACCTCTGTAACACCAGTCCAGAGTATCTGACCCTCCCCTTGCCTCTGAAGGCCCCAGACAAGCAGGTGGTGTGCTTACATGCATGCAGACCAACCAGTATTATACTTAAAACTATAAAATCTACATTTAACGTAATGAATAGTGAGCTTACAGAAGGAGAAAAAAGAGGTCAAAATTGTAGGAGGGGAAAAGGAGAGAGAAATGGTGTTCAACCCAGCCAGCATGATGTATTAGGACATCCAAGAATGAAGCTGAGGGACTGGAGAGATGGCTCAGCGCTTAAGAGCCCTTTTCTAGGGGACCTCTGCTCAATTCCCAGCACCCACATGGCATCTCACAACTATCTGGAACTCCACTTCCAGGGGATTTGATGCCCTCTTCTGGCCTCCACAGGCTCAGTATACACATAGTGCACAGACATACATTCAGACAAAACACTCAAACATATAAAATAAAATATATGACTATATATTTTAAAAGAATTAAGTTATGTTGGCAGAAGAGCAGTATAATATAAGAATGAGGAGTCAGTGAATAGTCACCAGTTCAGAGTTTGCCGTGGAGAGGAGAGACAAAGAACAATGGTTATGAAATTGTTGAAAGTTTTTTTATTGCACATTGATGAAAGCCTTTGACCATATCGGCTATGAAAGAATGGCTTGAAAGAAAGCTGAACATGCAAGAGACTACCCAAGTGTGACTAGCTGTACATGAGCCATCTTTGTAAGAGCGGGGAAATAATCCCTATGCACCCGGGGCACTCCTCTCCTGGCCTTTGTAATTGGTGTGAGCCTTAGCCTTTAACAACTGAGCCATCTCCAGCTCCTGCCCTTTGGAACTGTGCCCATCCTCAGAAGTGCTCTTGTGATAGCTTGATCTCCCACTGGACTGGACTCACAAGGACAGGCATTACCTCTGCCTCGTTTCCTGCTGGATCTGTTTGCAAAGTGCTCAAAGAGACTTTGATACATGGATGTGTATGGAGACATGGATACATGACATTTTTAAAAACTTGTAAGTTTCAAATAAGTGGATTAGAGGTATATTTAATAAAGCAAGTAGTCCAGAAGCCTTTTAATACTGATTAATATGTGCATATGTGTGTACATATTTATGTATACACATTCATGCATGCACACATACACCATGGTTGTTGATTTCTGAGGATAACATTTTTAACATTAAGTGCCATTGCCTTAAGCATAGGTATTTGGGCGCTTAGATGAGAAAGCTTTAAAGATGAGACAGCAATTGAAGGCAATCCAAGAACTAAGAACTCTCCACTCATAGATGAGCAAGGCCATGAGTCATCTCTGCACAGAGAATTTAACTGTGATAATATCAAGGAAACAAGTGATGAAATCACAGCCTGTTAGGACAAGTGGATATATCATTCACACTAATCCAGGTGTAACCCCAAATAACAGGACTTCTGCATCTGTACTCTGTACCTGAGATGATTTGATGACCTATTAAGTAAAAAAAAAAAAAAATCAGAAAGGGGGGAGAAATATGAATATTTTAAGACAATACCAAGTGCCTTAAGGAAAGCAAGTCCAGCAACAGGAAGGTAATCAAGCATGGGTGGGAAGGGGCTTTGGGAGCCCCACTCCTAATTGGGGAGCTATTGGCAATTGATGGCGGCTGGGGGATGGAGAGTGCTTTTTCCTCAGTAGTGTGGCCACTCTTCAGTTCTCCATGCTGCAGCAAATATCCCCTGCACCCATGCTCATGCAAGCAATCCTAATTAAGGTCATTCAGGAAGAGGCATGAAGGTAGAATCAGGACTTGTTGGGAAGAAAGGGTCCAGAGGGAGGGGAAGGAGATAAGAAAGGGTAATTAGTGGGAGGGTGAATATGATTATAATACAGTATATGCATGTGTGAATTTATCAAAGAATAATTAAAATCTTTTAAAGGGCAGTCAATTGTGCATTTCTTTCCTGGCTCTCCCAGTTCTCGTGTGTGTGTGTGTGTGTGTGTGTGTGTGTGTGTGTGTGTGTGTGTGTTATTTAACTTGGCCTCAGATTTTTTACTTGTGAAATGGGGATAAATATCCCTCATAGGGGTTTTATAGGGTTAAAAAAAAAGGTAACAGATCATGTGAACGCCCTGTATACAGCCCAATTACACAGGAATCAGAGTACAGGCATGAGACATGGAAAGCTTAAGTTGAAACTGTCATTTTTCCAAGTGATATGGATACAGTAACTGGTCATGGAATTCTGAAGTTTGAGGAAAGATCCAGCCTGGAGATATAAATTTGAGAGTCATCTAAAGACACATAGGATATGGCCATGGTTATATCATTTGTCACTGTATTTTGGTTCCATGGAGATCAAAAGTGCATTACATAGTCTTAGGAGGAGCAGACCTCAGACCTGGCATCAGAAGTGATCTTTATGAGCTGCAAATGAAAGGCCTAGTCCACCAAAGGCAAGTGGAGTGCCAGAAGCAGGTATGCAGAGTATAATTAACATTTATAGCTGAATCGCACCCCCAGTTTGCCTAATGGAGGAAACATTGACAGTGGGTCAGGTCACAATTTTGTAATTGATTTGTAAAAATGATTTACTAGTTCATGACATTAAGTTGAGGGAATGTTGCATATTTTCTACATGGATGCCACTTAGTGGCTGCAACAACACCTCCTTACCTTAGCGAAAACCAGACAAGGAAGATCTGACTGCCAGTGATTCATGAACTAGCAGAATAGGTCATACCCAACTCCACAGTCTAATTCCAACACTTTAATTTCTATTGGTCTTCACAAGTACTTTGGCTTTAAAAAAATTTCTTTTCCTAACTTTTTTTTTAATAGAAGTATTTTGGCTTGAGTAAGTCAATACCATGGACACAGCCATTTCTAGATGTGCACTCGCGTGTCATAGTTATCATGTCTAGCCCCCACCTTCAACACAAACCCCTGTTTCCTGCAGTCCCCTCAGCCCCTTGTTTATTCGTCAGCTTTCCATTAGTGTGTCAAAAGACCTGAGAGAAACCATTTAAAAGATGGGAAGAGTTATTATCCATCACAGTTTCAAATGTTTCAGTCCATGGTCAGCTGGCCAGACAGCTTTCATGAGGGAGCAAGGAGAGGTAGAAAGTTGCTCATCTCACAGGGACTGGAAGAAAGAGAGAGGGAAGGGCCAGCCGTGAAGTAGACCCTTCAGAACCATGCCCCAACCACCTACTTCCTCCCATTGGACTTCTTATAGTCTCCTCAACTTCCCAGTAGCCAATTGAGTTAAAAATTCATCAATGGGTTAATCCACTGATTAGCTCCAAGTCCCCATGAGTCATTCACTTCCCAGAGGCCCCACCACAGGATACTCCTGCCTTGGGGACTGATCTTTCGATACATGTGTTGAGGGGGAAGCATTTTTCATGGAGATGTAATACCTGGAGATCTCTATTGTGCTTTGTCTTGGGCTTTGCCTAATTTAGTGCCTCATATAAATGGAGTCGTCAGAAGCTGTCCTATGATTTGACTTATTTATTATCATGTTTTCAGGGTTCAGTATGCTGTAGTGTGTACTAAAGTTTTATTCTTCCTTGTACAAAATAACATTCCATTGTGTAATATATACAGCCCTCTGCAGATTCATTCATCTCTTGATGGACATGGGTGGTTTCAAACATTTGGATGCTCTGAGTTTTTATTAATGTGTTACAGTGTATTGAAGCGCTACAGTCTCCACTTTGAATTATTCTAGAGATAAAGCAGAATTGCCATAAATGTGTTGTACATGTTTACATGCATGTGAATGTATTCATGTATGATTTGGGCTCTGTGTGTTCGTACTTGGTTCATTTAAAAAGTGAAATTCTTTCAGCATCATCACCAGGGTAAGTTTCATCTCCGTGGCAATTGGGGCTTTACCCACATGGATAATAGAAGCTCTGTAGTGAAGCTCCATGGCTTCCTGCCACTAATGAAGCCTTTGTGTGGGTGGGTGTGTTCACATTCCTAAAGAGTGGAGCCCCAAACACTGAAGTATAGAAAGTCACCTTTCTTCCCATCGTAATAGGTATTTATATTTTATTCACTCTCCAAAACTGGTACTCTTTGGTAAAAGAACAAACGCCAAATAATACAGCGAACCATTACCAGTAGCCATGCTAGGACCACGACAGTGAAGCAGACATTGCAACTGAGCTCTGGGAAGCAAAGCTAGTTGATGTTGCTGCTCCCACAGAGCCAGAAACATCCAGCCCAGAAACAAGATGACTACAAGTGTGCATGCGCAAATGTTTAGAAGGGACGTGAATGCAGGACCTGCAGAGCAGAGAAGCAGGAAGCCTGTATCTGCAGGGTGATGGGGTGGTGGTTCCAGTGTACGCAGTTCATGTCCCTGTCTCACTGAAAGACGGTATGGCAAGATACCTGGCATATACTCAGTCAGCTTTATTACAGGGTGGTTGCCTAATGCTCCATTGTTCCATTGTATAAGAAGAGATTAAACGGGTTGTATAACAGTATTAAATCACCCAGCAGTTTCTAATACCTAACCAAAACCTTTTAAGTGTCATTAAAGACAAGAAGACACTGCCAGGAAGCAGGAGATTAGGGAGATGTGTCACTCAGTGCAGTGTGGGGTCTTGACAGGATTCCTAGCACAGAGGAAAGACCCAGCCAAGAAAGGCAGCAGTTGGGTTAGTGTTGATGGACCAATGCTGACTTCACACTTGGAGTAAATGTCCTAGAATTATACAAGATATTAACAGGCTGAGTGCGAGCCATGCAGGAGTTCCTTGTTGGTGTGATGGGCTTGCATTTGTAACACAACAGCTTTGACATGGCCATGGCCATAACTCCATCTTTGTCTCCTTTCCAATTCCAATGCAGGGTGTGCTGGATACATCATGTCACCGGCATGTGGGTGTACCCTTTCCTGGAACATATTGGCTCAGGAGCTAGGATCATCTTCTTTGGGTCAACAACAATTCTAATGAATTTCCTGTACCTGCTTGGAGAAGTGCTGAACAACTATATCTGGGATACACAGAGAAGTAAGTATCATTCAGGGCATGTAAAACAAGAACAGTACTGCCTACAAACGCCTTGGCTGAGGGTAACTTCTGCAGCAGCCTCTTTAGTCTTCCACACAGGCTCTCCACGGAAGCTTCATTTTTTATCACAGTAGTAATTTAGGAGCTGCTGGCAGTGTTACCTGAAAGGTTTATTTCTCACTTGGTCTTATTAGGTAGTAAAACATCCAAACCTAAAGATAAAGGAAGCATGCTCATAAAATTATATAGAGAAAAAAAATACAGTGTTAACAGGAAAACAGAAGTGAAGCCAGCTATGATTAACAGGATTCTGCCATAGTGAGAGGACCCTAAATTAAATAGTAAGTTACTGAAAGAGCCTCATTAAAAGTCACCAGATCTCACTCTTTATGCCATCTTTTCATGGATTTGGTAGCCTCAGAGGAATCTCATGACTACGAAGCCAGAACTATAAACAGTCCAGGTGCTGCCCTTTGCCAGAGTGGAAGGTCACAGAGAGATGCAGTCAATTAAAGAATATATTTCATTGCTGCTTAAGCTCCCTTAACCTTTGACTTGATTCCTCTTTTGTTTCTATTTATAGCAAAGGCTCCTCCTGGGCAAGACACTCAATGTAATCTAAGCTGTGACAAACCTGTCCAAAATCTATGTAAAAAGACATAAACGTTGGAAGGTGGAAAAGCAAGAGCTTAGACATGTAGGGATCTGAATCCTGCGAGAAACCACATCCAGAGGCTGGTATGGGGATTTCGGAGAGATCTGAACATCTCTCTGGACACAGTCCTTCATTCTCAATATCACCTGTAAGTGGACTGTGATCCACAAATGTTGAGCACCTGACTGAGGGCCAGTCACTGTGCTGAATCACAGTCCACTTGACTAATAAAGTAGTGCTTGCATAGTCACGGAATCAGATTGTTTTTGTGCGTGCTTCTTCCGAGACCGTGTGAGTAAACATGTCAACCAATGCTAAATGGTCCCTAGTTTTCATCCATTCAGACCACAGCTTGGAGAACCAGACATTAATCTTTTCATGACATTTCCTCCATTCAACAGAAGCAGTAATCTTTCTCTTTTAAATTATAGAATTATTTGGTACCCTTAAAAATCCTTTTGATTGTGAGCCTAGCCTTTAATGGCTGAGCCATCTCTTTTGAGGCCGGGTAGTGGTGGTACATGCCTTTAATCCCAGCACTTGGGAGGCAGAGCCAGGCAGATCTCTGTGAGTTCGAGGCCAGCCTGGTCTACAGAGTGAGATCCAGGACAGGTACCAAAACTACACAGAGAAACCCCCCCCCCAAAAAAAAAATTGAAAAGAAAAAAGAAAAAAAGAGAAAATTTGCTTCATCATCTTCAGAGAGTGGCTGTAGTTAAATTTAAGTTAGTATGTGCAGTCCAGGAAAAAATTTTCTGGCTTTCTCTATCCCCTGGATATGCTCAATTCTGGCAGACATTTGACCATACCTATGCTACTGCCTTGAGAAGGTGGCCTAAACAGCAGAGATAAATATCCAGACTAAGAACGTTGCTTTCCAGCAGCCTTGAATGAGGAGTTAGAAATGAACAGCGACACTGAGTTTTCTGAACTATCTGTGCAGCTTAACTGGTCTCTCCTGTTGTCTTGCATGGCATGCATGAAAGTCAGTCACCGTTTTATAGCTTATTTCTGTTTAGAGATTAATTGTATCTACATTTATTTAGTGGAGCCCCTAGGAGCTGTTGTTTGTGTCAAATCAGCATCCTCCCACTAATGGCCTCCCCTCAACTCTGTCTTTGTGTGTCTGTGTTGGGGTGGGGGGAGAAACAGGAGTTTCCTAGTGAGATCTGAGCTTGCTTTACCAGCAGGAATGTATAAGAGGATGATTGGACCAGAACCTGGGTACCAGGTGTTTGGAAGGGTCTACACTTGGTTGTATCTAGCAAGGGGGAGGTCTTTTGCCCACCCCTTGCCATTGTTGTTAAAATCCCTTTTGAATAAAGTTCTGGACCAGTGGATAAGGATCCAGGCCCTCCGAAGGCTATCCTGTGATTCTCTTTTTCTCTCCCCTCTATCCTTCTATCTAAATTTCTTATCCCTCACTACTCAAGAGTACCCTGGGGGGAAAAGGTGGAGACTGGACCCCACAAATGGTGCCACAAACTGGGACCAGAGACTTGGTGAAAGGAGAGAGGGGAGATCGCAGGTATAAGGAGGCATGCCGATAAGGAATTGAAAAATAAAGGCGACGGTATTTTATTCTCAGGAGTAAAAGTAAAGTGGCTGAAAGATGTCAAGTGAGGCTGCAGCATGTATCTCATAATATCTAGGTTTCTCTTTTTCTCTCTTTTTCAGTCTCTATCTATCTACTAAATTAGGTTTGAAAATGATAGTATAAGTAAGTCATAGAAATGTAGGCTTAGGTATTTAGGGTAGAATAGGCTTTAGGTGTACGGATATTGTGTAGGCTTAATAGGAAGGAACTTAGGGTAGGCTTAGAATTTCCCTAGTGCTGGACCTGGGATGCCAAGGGCAGCATCCAGGACCTAGTAGACTGTGAACTTGGCAGTATGAGTGGCTTCAGAAGCCACAGAAGCCACCAACGATGGCAGACACCAGAGCCAGTGCAAGCGGCAGCTGAGACCTGCGGGGCATCAGCCCAGTGCAGGTGGCAGATGCCCAAGAGACAGTACAAGCAGCAGGGTTCTGCATGCTTTCTGCTGTGAGGAGCCACAGTGAGGAGAACACAATCAGTCAGGGTGCTTGTGAAGCCTGACTGACATAGCTTGAGGGTACACTCAACCTTAACAAGCTAGCTCACAGAGGCTTGGAGTGCAGCAAAAACTTCAGGCCCCAGCTGCCAGAGTAGGTCTACTTCCAGAGCTGCAGTACCCAGGCAGAGACACCAGGGAAGAGGCTGAGAGCTGAGCAGGTAGCTGCAGAGGGAGAGCACAGGGTGCCATGGCAGGTATGTGAGAGACAAAGCCTCCTCCATAAAAAGATGCCCACAGGGCGCACACCAGGAGGGCCAGAGTGCAGGCACTCTGCGTCCGAGTGCGCTCAGGGAACACTGGAGAGCCTGAAGTGATATTCAGCTGTGCAAGTAGGACAACACTCTTAGAGGAGGACTCCCAGCAGAGCAGGTAACACAGGCAGGGGTGCAGAGGCCACAACTGGCCATGGACAGAGCTAGCAACAAAAGCCTTGCAGTTTCTGTTTACTGGCTGTAAGAAAGTCTCTTTTGAATGGACTCTGCCCCAGCCAGCTAATAGCTTTTTCCTTGAAGCAAAAATGGCTTTAGGGGAAGGATACAGACTGCAAAAAATTGCAGCTGTAGCAGAGAGTGAAAGTTTCAGAAAGGCTTACTTGAACTGAAAAAAAGTCTAGTTATGGGACTCCTCATATTTGGAGTTGTTTACTTCAGAGTCATTATGACACTGACAGCTATACAAAGATTTAAGGGCAGCTGACAAGCCAGACCCTGATAGTTTTGGCGCTTGTCCTGGATCTCACTCTGTAGACCAGGCTGGTCTCAAACTCACAGAGATCTGCCCCGCTCTGCCTCCCAAGTGCTGGGACTAAAGGCGTGCACTACTGCCACCCAGTGCTTCCTGGAACTTTAAGACTGGTGAAAGAACTGTGTTTTTAAATTTTTTAGACTTAAGAAATGTGATGGACAAGAGTGATTTCATTGCATTGGGACAATTTAAACTTTACTTATATATACAGACTCTATTCACAAACTGCTTTGTGTTGAAATGGAACTGTTTTGTGGAACTGTTTCTGTAAAATGGAACTGCTAATGGAACTGGTTTTGTGTTAAAAATGGAACTGTTTAAATAGAGAAATTTGGTTTTTTTTTTTCTACTCAGGTTCAAGATGCAGTTAAAAAATTATAAAGGAAAGGGGGAATTAATGTTCTTCAATCTATTTAATTTACTTTAAATAAATATTTTCTTGTCACTTGAGTGGACTGATGTTGTGTTAATGTACCCTATGTTTTGTATAGTTTTATTAAGAAATTGTTTTTGGATGTTTGCTAAAGTTTTTAAAGTGTTAATGGTAATATTGAGAGCATTGCTTTTGGATGTAGGTTTGTAGGAATTGTAATTGTGTATAATATTTATATTAGAATTATGTTAACCTGTTAATGTTAATGATGAAGCTAAGGGAGTCTTTGAGTTTGATGCAGTTGCATCCAGAGTTTTTTTTATTTAAAAAAGGGCTTGGTGCAACTAAGACTTCTGTAGTCAACTTAGACCCATTCAACAAGGACATTCCATCTTTATCATACTCTACTCCTTTACTTGGAGATGTGGCAGCCCTAGGGAGTAGGAGTATTGCTGTGGTAATACCAGCTACTTGCAAGCTCTTAGTGGAATAAGAGCTGTATAGAGTTAAGCTCTGTAGCCTCCCTTGAGTTTTAAAATATTAAGAAAGGGGAACCTGTGGGAGCCCACAGAGGTTTCCTAGTGAAATCTCAGCTTGCTTTACCAGCAAAGCGGCGTAAGAAGATGATTGGACCATGGGCCTGGGTACCAGGTGTTGGGAAGGGTCTATACTTGGTTGTATCTAGCAAGGGGGAGGTCTTTTGCCTCACCCCTTGGCATTGTTATAAAAAGCCCTTTTGAATAAAGTTCTGGGCCAGTGGATAAGGATCCAGGCCCTCCCGAGGCTATCCTATGTTTCTGTCTTTCTCTGTCCCTTCTATATTTCTATCTAAATCTCTTATCACTCACTCCTCAAGAGTACCCTAGGGTAAAAGTGGAAACAGGGCCCCCGTGTGTGTGTGTGTGTGTGTGTGTGTGTGTGTGTGTGTGTGTGTGTGTGTATGTTTGTGTGTGTGTGTGTGTGTGTGTGTGTGTGTGTGTGTGTGTGTGTGTGTTTTAAGATGTTCATCTGACACTCTACTGCCTCCTCTGCAACTGGGATTGCAAGTTCATGCAACTATGTTCCTCTCTTTTTGATTTGTGTTCTGGGGATCAACCAGGAGTCCTTATGTTTGCAAGGCAAGTACTTTGCTGACTGAGCCATTTCTCTAGTCCTTTATCTTAAATTTACCAACAAAAAAATTCATTATGTCTACGTAGTGGAATTTTTCTATGCACCAACATTTAAAAATTGGAAATTTTCATATTATAGTTGGACTTCCTCTCCTTATCAAGTATTTTAAGATGTGGTGACACTGGTCCCACTGTTCCTTCTGTCAACAAGGATTTGAACTGAGTATCAGTTACCACCTTTAGATGCCCATCTAACTTTCCCTAATTCTCATCTGGCACTTAACTCTGTCAATTTCACAATTGAGTTTGAAACTGCAGATTAAAAGCAGTGTGGGCATGTGTGTGTGTGTGTGTGTGTGTGTGTGTGTGTGTGTGTGTGTGGTGTGCATGCCCACACACCTGAACATATGCATGTGTATGTGCATGTACATGTTGACTATTGTTTTAGTACAGTATAAAATATCTGTTTCCACAAATCAGTTACTATAAAATTACTCAATGAGAAGGAATACTGCATATAAGGTATAAAATACCTTCCTGAATTCCTTAATGGTCTCCAGTGACTCAAATCCTCTGGTTTGTTTATGCTACAACTTCAAGATGAAAAAAAAAAACATTTGCAGACTATTACAGCTAGGGAGATAAGTCCTAGAAATTATCTAAACCGACCCTCTGCTTTACAAAGACAGCTGAGGCCTTTGAGTGACCTACTGAAGTAATTGTTGGCAAAGCCAGTGTCTTCCACCCAAGGTTCAGCACCTTCTCACTTCTAGTGAACTATCAGAATCTCCATGTTTTAGAAACACAAAACAGGCCTGCTTGCTAGGAAATACAAGCCCTTAAAATAAGTTAAATTAATAGTCAAACATTTACTCTTTTACAAATAAAGTAACTCAAGATAGATTTGTGAGAACTGCTTGTGCTTGCTCTAATAAAATACCACAAGCTGGGTATTTTAAACAATAGGAAGAGATTGACTGGCATGTGTAGATGCCACAAGGTTCAAAGCAAGATGTAGTCAGGATTGGTTCCTCATGAGATCCTTAAGGAAAAGTCTGCCACTGGCCTATCCTGGGCTGGTAGTTGCTCATCTTCATGCTCAGAGATGCATTCCCTGTATGTGATATGGTCTCCCAGTTTCCCCCTTTTAGAAGGATGCCAGTCATATTTGATGACATTCACCCTAATGGCTTCATGTTAGCTTTGTGAAGACCTCATCCAAATAAAGTTTTATTCTAAGACAATGGGGATTAGGAATTCAATATCACAAGTTTGGGACTCTAAATAATTCGTCCTGTAATAGTCCCCCTACCATAAATGTCTTTCACGCATGTGAAATGCATTCTTATCCCAGTAACCCCCAAAAGCCACTCTGGTATCAACTCTTTAATACAATCAATCAATCAATCAATCAATCAATCAATCAATAATAAATAAATAAATAATAAATAAATAAATAAATAAGAAAGGAAAAAAGGAAGGAAGGAAGGAAGGAAGGAAGGAAGGAAGGAAGGAAGAATCTCTTCTGAAGTATGATATAAACCTACAAACCATGTATGGGTGAGATGTGGTCATAATTCATCCCAAAACAAAATTGTTCTCCAGGTTCATGTAAACCTACAAAACCAGGCAAAAAGTTACCTCCTTCTAAAACATGGTGGTGTAGCAGGTCTGTGATATACAGTCCCCTTCTAAACGAGAGGAATGAAGGAGGCAAAAGGACTCATGGCTACCAAGCAAATCTGAAAGCAAGCAGGGGAAATTTTCTTTAATTAAAAGGCTTGAGAATAATCCTCTTTGGCTGGATGCTGTAGCCCTGAGGCTCACAAAGAGGGGTTGGGCCCTGCCTTCCAACCCCTGAAGAGCAGAAGATCCACCCTCCCCCCAAATTCTGGACAGGGATCATGGTGGTGAGTGGCGGGGGGTGTACTGTGGAACCAAGGAAGAGCTAGTGACTGAATCCCTTATGTCATTTAATGCTATGTCTGAGCCTTTTGTCCAGGATGGTACTTTCTTTGGGTATAAAATTTTCAAAGACAATGCTGGTTTCTCCTGCAATTCGAGGAGACCCACACCATCAGAGAAGAGGGTCCTTCAGAAGGTTTTCCTGGATTACTGCCTCTCGCTCTGGCATCTGCTGCAGCAATTGCTTGGATCCATGAGTCAGATGCCTAATTTCTTCAAGGAACAATTGTCTAGCCACACCCTGGGGCATTCTCTCACCTTTTGAAGCACTGTGGGTCAGGACTTTGGCATATGATTGTGCAGTTCAACCCACGACCCCTGAAGCATTTCTGTCCTTCACCTAAGACGCTGTTCTAAACTCTTAACTCTGACTAAGGCAGCTGCTCTCACCAGAGTCAGATTTTAAAAGACCAGAAACAAGAGTGCTCCAGAGTAAGAGGCAAGGACAAGGACAGAGAGAATAGGTAAGAGGGGTTCAGGGGAGGGAGTCAGGCCCAGGCCTCCATGTGCAAGCCCAGGCCCCTTCTCTGTAATGCCCGTCCAGGTTGTAGCACTGGCAGAAGCTCCCGGCTCTCACTCTCTGAGCGCTACTCCCTAGTGGAAACCATCTGCCTGCTTAAGGATATTTGTGGTTACCTCCCTCTGGGTCAGCCTTGTCCCCTGTGTTCTGCAGGAACAGCCTGTCTCAGCTCTCTGATGAGTTCCTGTCTGCCGCATCAACCCAACTGCAGAATGTTCTAGAGGAAAGGGACCAAAGAGAAACAAAACAAAACAAACAAACAAACAAACAACAACAACACACACACACACACAAGCACAATTTTGAATCGCATCTACCCCCAGCTTCTTTACTCTTGTGTAGAGAACACGGAACAGAGGTGGGGTGTCAGGCTTGTGCTGTCTGACGGGAGCCTGTATTGTTAACTGTATTTGCCTTGGTTGCCCACCCAACAAGGGAGGCATGGTGTATACTCTTCCTTTCAACCAGCTCCTCTCTCCTCGAGCCCTTGTTCCTAGATGTGATGTTTCCCTCCCGTGAGCTGTGGGAAGTATCTTGGAAACTATTTTATGTCTCTGCCAGTTCCTTACCTGTGAAAATCGACCATGAGAGAGGATACCTGCTCGGAGCAGTGACTCACATTCTGCTGCCTCTTCTGGACTCAATGAAGCTAGCTGGGAGTGGAAGCTGGTGGAGGAGGGCGATCCCTAATTAACCCTAGAATAATTGCAACCCTCTGACATTGGACTTCTTGATTGATCACTGTGGGGTCCTATATGTTGTTTATTGCTTTTCTGCTAGTCCTGTTTCCAGAGGCCTCCTCTACGTGCGTTTATGATCAATGAAGATTAGCTGAGCATCTACTATAAAATACACTATCAAGCAGTAGGGCTGTAATTAAGGACAAAATCATTAAAGATTTTGCCCTTAAAACTCTCTACCTTTGGAGATCTACACATTTATAAAAGAATAGTAACAGGACCAGAAAGACAGTTTTTCGAATTCTTTTATTCGTTATTGCTATTGAAACAGACACACAAAAAGCATTCAAGAACTTTGGAGAAGATTAGAAAAAAATGTTTATCTAGAAGCAAAAGAAAAGGAGAAGAGCAGATGGAATTTCTGGATTTAAGGATAACTTATGAGAGTAGCCTGAACAACTTCATCTCCAGGAAAAGGAACCATCACCAACCACTGACTGCAGACAACAAACAAAACCTTTCTGATCCAGTACATACACATCCTTCAGGAAAAGCAGATCTGGATGGGTGGCTCCTGCAAGGCAGAACTTGAGTTTCAGCACACACAAGTATGTGACCAGAAGTATAGTCAGGGGTACAGTGATTCCTAGCATGCCTGAGGCTCTGGGTTCATGCCCTAGCATGGGGCAGGAAGCAGAGTTAAAATTGTGTGTGTGTGTGTGTGTGTGTGTGTGTGTGTGTGTGTGTGTGTGTGCGCGCGCGCGCGCGTTGTACATAAGCAGAAACAGCTCCTGTGGCTAATTAGGGCTCCATGGGCTTTTAAAAAATAATAAAATTTTAAAAGAGCAGCTCTTAGGTTTTTAGAAACCCCCAATCCTGGTCTTGAGAATGGACAGGACCAAAGTGAAAAATAAATGAAGCCATTTAAATGCATCAGCTCCATGGCTCCTGCTGCTGGGGGCTAGCTGAGAAGCAATCCAGCTGGAGTAGTCATCATGCGAACCAATGAGTCCTCCTGCTTCAGGGTCCTACTCCCAGAAGCACAAGGACCAGGCTGTGTCGCAGAGATGTCAGGAAAGCGTGGGGAGAGAGGTCACTGAGGGTGTTTCTAGAAAACATTGCAAACTGCTTTTCTTCTTAGCTAGGAGAAGGAGGGAGGGATGGAAGGGTGATGGACGTGAGCTATGGTAGCCAGAGATTCTAGGAGCAGCTCCCACATAGCTCTGCATCTGATGCTCAAAGAAAGCTCTTTGTCTTTTCAGGTATGGAAGAAGAGAAAGAGAAACCTAAGCTGGAATAAGATCCAAGTCGGAAAGGAGAAGCAGGAAGGAGCTACCCTTGAATTCTTTTGGCCCTGGGCACCAGCAGTGAGGAGACAGAACTTCAAAGGGGCCATGGCATCAACCCTGTCTCCCTGACCCTGCCGGAGGATAACTTTTATATTCAAATTTGTGCAAAGTAGGATGCGTTGCTTTCGAAGATAATTCACCCTTACTGTTTTAAGTACTCTATTCCAAATTCATTATTGATGACTTCTTTTCCTCTTTTTCTAGTTTTAAAACTAAAGTTGGTCATTGAACTTTCATTTCTGCAATAATAACTCCACATAATCAAGAAAAAAAATCGACTTGTGTTTCTTGTTGAGGAATATGATGAAGTTGGAAGGGCTGGTGTGGATCAAGGCATTCATATTTAGTCTTAAATGTGGCTGGAGTAATGACTCTGGGACACAGTATGGACCCAAGAGGAGGCAGGATAGGTGGTTCCTGTAGTGACAGAGTCATGGTTGCCTCAGTGAGCAGTGTTAGTCATAATATCAACTTAGTCAAAACCCTGAGTGTGCTTGAATCTTCCTATTTAATCTGTGAATACTTCCCACATGCAAACGTTACTTACTGTTAATAAAGATCAACCAACTGAACTTGATGTCTGCATGGTCCGTCTCAGTCTTTGCAACCTGGTTGAAGTGTCTGTTCTTGCTTGTTTCTGTTGAGGCAGGCCTGTTGAAAGTAGGTTGACTATACCTCATTTTCTTATCTTAAAAGTGGTATGTTTTCATAATTCCAGAAAGAACACTTTAAAATCTTACTTATAAACTCTTGAACATAATTATTTGAAAGGTAGAAAACAGTGTTATATCAATTATAAAATATTACTTAGTATGAATATTGGTTGTACATACTACGATAGATCAACAATATAAAAACATTTATTCTAAAAATGACTTAATTGGTGATACAACTTAGAAAGTGCTAGAAAAGCCACCCCCATAGGCACCTATGAATGTGTTCTCTTTTATTTTATTTTATCTACAACCACCACTTCATAAAGGAGCCTGATGATCCTCATTGACTACTGACTGCGAAGGGCTCAGGACTCCCTAAAGAGAGGATTTTTACGAGGCTTCCAGTAATTAATTTACAGATAATTCAAAGATGTATGCTTTAGTAATAAATGTATTCATACATCACAGAATATATACCCAATTTTAAACACCATTTTATTAAAAATTCCAACCAGGGGAAGAAAAACTCAGTTAATAACTATGCTTACCAAAAAAAATTTAACAAGTAGCTTAAAATATTTTGGAAAAAACTCCAAACGTATCAATATCAATGACCATAAAATAGTTTGATTTATGTACTGAAAGAACTAGATTTCATAACAGTTTTTAAAGGAAAACACAATTCTATCCTGGACATTGCAAAATGGACACAAAATGACTGCATCCTGCAAGACTGCAAAAAGAACATCTGGAAGAAGAGGAAACAAAATGAAACAAGGCTTTCTGAAACCCAGACCCACTTCCTTGATGGTGAATGCACTCACTTATAAGCCCCATCTCTAGAAGTATGCTTCAGAGAAATATGGATGGCCCAAGAAGCATCACCATATTGGTTCCCTACCTCAGGGGAAATATCATGCAAAGATCTACTGAAACAGAAAAGCAAAGCAATACCACATCCTTGGGGTAGCTCCTGTAAATTAATAGTGCCGTGGTCAAAGATAGAGGGATCCTGAGTTGGTGGTTACCATCACAACTGCCTTTAACTCACCCATGTGAACAAAGAACAAACTTCAAGTATAAATTGAGTTGTATTCCCTAAAATCCAAATGTTGAAGCCTTAATGTCCAGTAAGTCAGAGTGTGACTGTTTTTGGAGATAACACCCTTTAAAGAGTGGTTAAGTCAAAACGGGGTCATTGAGAGGCCCCTAATTCAACCTTACTGATACCTTTATAAGTAAAAATTTGAACATGTTGGAGACTTGCACAGGAAAAAAAACATAGGAGGGCTAACTGCAAGCCATGGAGAGAATCTAATCCTGCTAAGTCTAGGCCTGGGACTTCAGCCTCCAGAACTAGAGGAGCTGAATTCCTTTTGTTGAAGCCATCACTTTGTATTTTCTTGTGCAACTCCTAGTAAACTAACTCTGCCTATGTACAAAGTACCAATGGGGTTAGAAGAGGAAGAGGAAGAAGGAGGAGAGGAGGAGGAGAAGAAAAAGGAGGAGGAGAGGGGAGGAGGAAGAAGGAAGAAGAAGAAGAAGAAGAAGAAGAAGAAGAAGAAGAAGAAGAAGAAGAAGAAGAAGAAGAAGAAAGAAGAAGAAGAAGAAGAAGAAGAAGAAGAAGAAGAAGAAGAAGAAGAAGAAGAAGAAGAAGAAGAAGAAGAAAGAAGAAGAAGAAGAAGACATTATAAACTTATATAGATGATGACTCCACTTATTGGGAATTATTCCAGAAGATTAGTTTTGCCAGAGTAACCCAGTACAAATCCTGGTATGTGGTATGAAGCTATTAAAATTTTCTTTTGTTATGCAATGCCAACAGTATTTTAAAGGTGATTACAATTGTGTCTCAATATCAATGACCTTGATAGTTTAACCCTCCATGGGGCATCAAGCTTCCATTACACTGATGATGTCATACTCGTAGGATACAGCAAGTACCACGTGCATGCAAATGGATATTAAATTGTCCCTTCAAAATTAAAGAAAATGATGAGAGCATTCATATTTATGAAATATCTAAGCCTCTAGTCATTGAATGATATGTCTTAGTATATACCTTTTAAAGTGAAATGAAATGGTTTCATTGTACAGGCATTTTATCACTAGGAAAAAAGCATGTGGATTGGTGTGTATTCCTAGATTTTGAAGGAAACACTGAGTGTGGGTTTCTTACCTGTTAATACAGTTAGAGGAAATGTAAGAGCCTGTAAACTAAAATGTAGAGAGTCATGATGATGATTTTCTGATTTATGACTTTAAACACACATACACAAATGCTGGACCAGTCATTTCTTACTGCTAACAGCAGCAACAACAACAATAAAAAGCCACCCCTACAACTAAGTTCAAGTTGCATTTACTTGGCTAGCAAACATACAGGATTTGGTAAATGCACTTGTCTATGGGCCACTGATATCTGATAGTGTGACTTAACACCTGGTGGCTACAGTCACTCAAAGACTGACTCACTTGCATGTCCACTGACTGCTGCTGGCTATGAACTGTGATCTCCTGAGGCTATGATTTTCCAAGTGACTGCTCAGTTTCATCCTATGGTTACCTGTCATTTTCTTAAATAATGTGTGTAACTGTTTTGCCTCATGTATATCCGCACATCCTGTTTGTGACTTATGTCTGCAGGGACCAGAAGGTGTCAGATCCCCTAGAACGGGAGTTACAGACACTATAAGCTTCTGTGTGTGAGCTAGGAAGAAGACTGGGGGACTTCTGGAAGAACAGCCAGTGCTCCTGACCATGAGTCCATCTCTCCAGCCCCAACAAGTCCTTTTTGTTGTTGTTGTTTTATTTTGTTTTGTTTTTCGAGACAGGGTTTCTCTGTGTAGCTTTGGAGCCTTTCCTTGAACTCACTCTGTAGCCCAGGCTGGCCTCGACCTCACAGAGATCTGCCTGGCTCTGCCTCCCTAGTGCTAGGATCAAAGGCATGTGCCACCACCGCCTGGCTACACCATGTCCTTTTTAAAAATTGGAATATTCATTTTAGAATTCTTTTACTCACCCATATGATATAATTAGAATTTTTCTAATTTTTCTAATGTTTGTTTCTACTTTGCTTTATATTAACTTACAGTTAACATACAAAATAATAGGTTTTATTATGACATTTTTCTAAATACATAGCATGCACTCTGTTCATATCTGCCCACCCTGTTTACACTCCTTTGTCCCTGCTCCCTTCATGCCTGACATTTTTATATTGGCTTTGTAACAACATGACAGCTGGATCCCTGCAGACCCAAGCTAAAAATACATCTCTTAGTATGACTTAGCAGAAATCACATATCCTTCCATAGATACAAGTGGTGGGAACATAGAATCCACATCTTGATGGACGAGCATCAATGTGACATGATAAAAACAATATATGGGATCAGGACATAGTAGTGGCTAGATTTAGACATGACCACACACATCCAAAACAATAAGCTAGAAGATAAATTGAAATTTAATAGAATAGATAGTTGTGGGTGGAGGGGGGCTGGAACAGGAGGATCAAGTGGAGATGGTAAAGGAAAAGGGAGATGGGGGCAGGGACTACTAGGAGAGACAGCTAAAATTAAGGTCCATTTAAGGGTAGTATGAAAACCTAATATAGTGGCAGCTTCCTAAAATATATACATATATGAAGATGAACTAAATGAAATCACCAAATAACAGAAGCAGAGCCCCAACTGTCCATCTCTTTTCATCAGATGAAGCTTCCAGTATCAGCATTGGGTTATATCTAATTGAGTTGTTGGCCAAAGGGGCCCTGTGGGAATCCCCAAACAATCCAGGATGTCACCAAGACTACAGGTTGTTCTCCGCAAATTAAAGGCAAGGCTGCATTGCTAAAGACAATACCCTCACAACTTAATGAACATGGATAAGTTGAGTTCATGTCTACATAGAACCATTGCCCCCACATTCTAGCGTCTTTGGTACAGGAAGGCACTATGCTCACTACTAAAGGCAAAACATAAACACCAACCCAGCCTCGGATCAAGAATGGTATCTTGCCTGCAAGATATGCTAGGACAATAATGTCGCAAGCTTGTGAAAATAGCCAGCTAGTATCTGCTTTGGCTTAAGGCCCACTCCATGAGATGGCACCCTTACTTGACACTTCTTGGGTGACCATGAACCTAAGACTAGATAGCCCAGGGTCCTAGGGTAAAACCAAATACTACTGGTCTAAAAACAAAAAACATAGCAATAAAATGACTCCTAATGACATTCTGCTATACTCATAGATCAGTGCCTTGGTCAGCCATCATCAGAGAAGCTTCCTCCTGCAGCAGACAGGAACAAATATAGAGACCCACAGCAAGACATTGTGTACAGAGTGAGAAACATTGGAACACTCTGTCTTAAACAGGATGTGTCCATCAAATCCCTCCTCTTAGGGCTCAGGAAACCTGATGAAGAGGAGTATCCTTTGCATATATATTACAGCTTCCAGTTTAGTGATTTTATGGAGTTCCTGAGTGTGCAAATAAGTGGGTGTCTGTTTCTTGTGCCTTCTCTTGGGCTCTTTTCCTTCTGTATGTTTTGTCCAATTCTGATGTGTTAGTTTTTGTTTTATAATATTATATTTATTGTATTATATTATACTTTGTTTTTATCCCATAGAAGCCTGTTGATTTTATAATGAAAGACAGAAAGGGAGTGGATTCAGATAGGAGGGGAAATGGAGCTGGGAGGAGTAGAGGGAGGGAAAATCCATAATTAGGATATATTGTGCGAGAGAAAAAATATTTTCAATAAAAAGAAATAAAAATAAAAAATGAAAAGATAAAAGACATTCAAGATAACATTTAAAAGCATTAAACATTAAATTAACATAAGATAATTAGCATTTTCATACATACAAGATGTAACAGGAAATAGTGGAAGAAAAGATCCTGTTTTCAATAGTAATAACTTTATAATGAAAATTATGAAACAAATCATGCAAAATAGGATTTTAATAAGTGGAAACATCTGAGAAAT